TAAGGACTTGATCATTGTCTGTATGTCGATGACGTCGTCCACAAATATTGGTGGGGGAGGAGGGATTCTCTGTGATTGTTGGTTTGGCGGCGGATCTACGATTTCCATGGCATCGTTAGTGGATTGCAGTACGGCGAACCTGTTGTGGGTGTTTATTTGTATCGTTGATTGTTCGTTCCGGGTGTCGATTGTGTGTGGTTTTGCTGTTTCTATTTTCCGTTTCTTGGTAATATTAGCATCGTTGGTGCGGAGAGTTCTGCTACACTTCTGCCACAGAGGAGGTAGCGCGGGGTAGTTGCGAATTTGCTCAGGAGAGCCTGGTCGTGATTCCTGGGCCATCATCGAGCTAGTTAATTCGAGTTGAATAACTAGTCGAGAGGCTATGAGGCTATGATTCGGGCAAAGGTTAGGAGCGTAGGAATTTTTCTCTAGAAAGATAGAAAACACTTGGCTATGTTCACTTTCGACGGATGGGCGTCACGTCTTGTTTTACGAATTTCACAGAGCATTAGACACACGTCTGCACGCTTCGGCACTCAACAGCGAACTCTCAACAGGGAACTGAAGTTGTAACATGACTGTGATTTGTTGCGTTTGCTGTCTGAGGACTGCGTTTTGTTCGCTTATCATTTTTGTTAGCATTTCGGTGTTTTTCATGGATTGCTTTAGTAGTTCTTTGATTTCTGTAGCGTCATTGATGTTGTTGTTCTGGTTTTGGTTGTCTAAGGGTGTTGATTGTTTGGTTACTTGCGTGTAGCTTCGGCTACCAAAGGTGTGGGTATTATTGTGGTTGATATTCATTACATGCTGTACATTTGTTGATGTCTGAGTTTCTGCGCTGTCCTGTTGTATGTGACAGTTATTGTATATCCTGTTTCGAAGCGGTGGAGACAATTTACGTTGAAGTTGTTTTCTGACTGTACAGCCTTTGTAGCTAGCTGGGTAGTTTCCACTGCAATTGTAGCATTTTACATCGTTTATTTTTCCCGTGTATGGGCAGTTCATTGTTAGATGCTTTTCTGCGCATTTGACACATGCCAGGTTTCTGTTGCAGTAATTTTTTGTATGCCCATATTGTTGACACCGCATGCATTGTGGCATGTCTATTTTATGTCTGGGTGGCTCGACTGTAATTATTGTGTTTAAGATTTTTTTAATTTCGAATATTTCTTTGTTGTTACCTTTAGGTTCAAGCTCTATTAAAAATAGCGGTAGTGGTTGTTTAGTATCAAATCTGGTTATATTGTTGATCGTTCTTACCTGGTGTCCGATCTTGGCCAATTACTCGCATATATTGTTTGTATTTGTTTTAGGGTGTAAACCTCTGATTACTGCTTTGTAGCTTTTATCAGATTTGGGTTGGCAAGTACGATACCCAGCGCTTTTTTCCTTTAGCGCTTTTGTCACTTTCCTATAGATTTCTGAGGTATTAGTTTGTACTTTTACCTGATCCAGTTTGAGTTGTTTAATGGTGTAGTTTTCTTTTCCTGCCGTGCTGTTTAGCAAATCAATAAGGGGGTCTATTATTTTAGCGTCTATGTAGATTGGTGGTGGCTTGGGATTAACAAATATAGGTGGGAGAGGGAAATTTTTTTGCGTTCTTCCCTGTTTTACTACGTCCACGAACTTTAGTTCGCGACGTATTTACGGCTTATTTTGGCGATGCGTTCGATTTTTGGTTTTTTCGCATTGTTTATCTTTTCGTTGAGCTTTTTGCGCAGCTCTACTAGCTTGGAGCATCCCTCGTATGACGCGGGGTGTTCGTAATTTTTCCAGTTAACGCAAAATATTTTGCCTTTGGTTGCTTCGTTGCTGCGGCGTTGATTGCTTCGATGGCGAGAAGAGTGTGAGTCTTCCCGTTTTGCCTCGTAGTACCTCATTCTTTTTTTTTTTATTAATTCCACAATTGCATTTGGCGTTGTGGCCTCTTTTGTTGGTCCAGTTTGTGGTTCCCTTTT